TCAGATTGTAGATTGCTCTGCAACATATTTTAAGAGTTTTCGAGTGAAGTGAGATGGAACAGCGAATGGCTGCCTGCCATGGAATCTGTTTAACGTTAACATGATTGAGGCCGCGCACAGAGGGTAATGAAAAGACGGCCGTTCTGTGTCTCCGCCATATACCATAGCAATGCAACGTGCGGAGACAATGAAGCGTTCAGGAATCCTCATATCGCCCAATTACAGATATAAAGGGTAATTGTCTCATTTAAAAAATATTTTTAAAAAACTCCAATTAGCATCAGTCTGGCTCTGGCTGCCTTGCAGACCCAATACAAGTCCATTGTTACCTTAGCAACAGGTCCATTGAGGTTGACCCCCCAACGCCCACAGCCTGCCGACAAGCGGGTGAGGTTTGTTGCTTGGTGATGCTGGTTTATCAAGAGTAATGGGCAGCCTAAGGTGACCTCACCATTAGTAGTAGTAGGCAAAACCCCATAGAGTCTCCTCTGTGAATGGACAGTGAATGGAGAAGCAGCAGACTGATGGGATCATCTCTCCTCCTCCTATCGGCATGCTCCTTGCACTACAGTCCTTAGCCCTGCTTCAAGCAGTGGGCTAGAGTTATGCAAATATTAAAATGCCTTTTAGGGTTAGTGTTATGGCTAGTATTAGGGTTAGCATTAGGGTTAGTGTTGGCTCTAGAGATAGGGTTAGTGTTGGCTCTAGGGTTAGAGTTAGTGTTAGTGTTGGCTCTAGGGTTAGAGTTAGGGTTAGTGCTGGCTCTAGGGTTAGAGTTAGGGTTAGTGTTGGCTCTAGGGTTAGTGTTGGCTCTAGAGATCGGGTTAGTGTTGGCTCTAGGGATAGAGTTAGGGTTGGTGTTGGCTCTAGGGATAGAGATAAGGTTAGTCTTGGCTCTAGGGATAGAGTTAGGGTTAGGTTTAGTATTGGTTCTAGGTATAGAGTTAGGGTTAGTGTTGATTCTAGGGATAGAGTTAGGGTTAGTTAACAGTCATTTCTAGACCATCCAGTTCCCCCCAAAGGAGACCAACCCTCAACAATATGTCAGCAAGAGGAAACACATTGCAGGGGACGGACGCAGAGAGGCGCTGGGACTCCCAGAGGCATTTTCAGGCAAGCGGTGAACTATAAAATCTAAGCATTCCACATCCCTTAACCGGCAAGGAGGATTGTTCTGACTTGTCAGTGATGAGCGAAATTTGGAGTTTTCACTTTGCCAAGATGTTGGTGAAATTTGGAACAATTAACTAAAACAATTGCCTTTCTGATGAACAAAGTCATGTGATTGACACGTCAGCGCTGCCATTGCAATCACATGACTTTGTTTATAAACAAAGGGCTGGAGTTAGCATAGAGTTTCTTAGGGTTTGCTTTACGGCAAGTGTCAGGCCTAGAGTTGGGATTAGCTTAAGGTTAGTGTAACAGTTAGCATTAGGGTTAGTGTTAGGATTAGTGAACACAGTCCAAACCCGAGCTCCTCTGAACTCGGAGGGAGTTTCTCCTGAACAAAGAAGGAAGACACCCATTCAGCTGCTGGCGGCGAAGTCCCTGCCCCCAGCTTGACGTAAGCAAAGGGACAGGATGCAGTGATGGTGGCTACATGTCTATATTAGGTAAATTACATCAGCACAAGAATTCCACCCCTTTGTTTATATGCAGCTGGACATGGGAAATGCCCAACCCCCAACTGATTGGCTGGAAGAGCCCCTGACACTTCCATGTTTGGAGGAGCTCGGGTTCGGACCAGGTTTGATCCAGATATGAGCTCATCCCTAGTTAGGGTTAGCATTAGCGTAAGTGTTGGCTCTAGGGTTGGAGTTAGCATTAGGGATAGGGTTAGTGATGGCTGTAGGGTTAGCCTTAGGGTTAGTGTTGGCTGTAGGGTTAGCCTTAGGATTAGTGTTGGCTGTAGGGTTAGCCTTTGGTTTAGTGTTGGCTCTAGTTTTAGCCTTAGGGTTATTGTTGGCTGTTGGGTTAGCCTTTGGGTTAGTGTTGGCTCTAGGTTTAGGGTTAGCCTTAGGGTTAGTGTTGGCTGTAGGGTTAGCCTTGGGGTTAGTGTTGGCTGTAGGGTTAGCCTTAGGGTTAGTGTTGGCTCTAGGGTTAGCGTTAGTATTAGGGTTAGCATAAGGATTAGGGTTAGCATAAGGGATAGGGTTACCCTTGGGATTAGTGTTGGCTGTAGGGTTTGTGTTAGCTCTAGGGTTAGCCTTAGGGTTAGTGTTGGCTGTAGGGTTAGCTTTTGGGTTAGTGTTGGCTCTAGGGTTAGCCTTAGGGTTAGTGTTGGCTCTAGGGTTAGCCTTGGGGTTAGTGTTGGCTCTAGGGTTAGCCTTAGGGTTAGTGTTGGCTGTAGGGTTAGCGTTAGGACTAGTGTTGACTCTAGGGTTAGCCTTTTGGTTAGTGTTGGCTCTAGGGTTAGCCTTTGGGTTAGGGTTGGCTGTAGGCTTAGCCTTTGGGTTAGCGTTGGTTGTAGGGTTAGCCTGAGGGTTAGCGTTGGCTGTAGGGTTAGGTTTTGGGTTAGTGTTGGCTGTAGGGTTAGGTTTTGGGTTAGTGTTGGCTGTAGGGTTAGCCTTAGGGTTAGTGTTGGCTGTAGGGTTAGCCTTAGGGTTAGTGTTGGCTCTAGGGTTAGCCTTAGGGTTAGTGTTGGGGTAGGTTTAGAAGTAGGATTAGTGTTAACATTATGTTTAGCATTAGGGTTTTTGTTGGCTCTACGGTTAGCGTTAGGGTTAGTGTTAGTGTTAGCTCTAGATTTAGAATTAGGGTTAGCATGAGGGGTGGCCTTGTATAGCAACAATGCCATCAAGTGCAGAAATGGTGAACAAACCAATGTTATTTTTTTCTCCTCTCATTTCAACCAAGGCAAAGTCAATAATTTATCTGCAAAATCGCTTTCAGCGGGATCACTGACCTCATTAATATAAAGCAGTGAATGTGACTTTAACCAGACATATGCTGGTGGTAAATCAGTCACCGTCATTTCAAACACATATACCTGGGAGATCCACCTGCAGTGAATGTTTGCTGAATGTCAGATTCACTTGTTTATTAATATGCTCCTTTAGCATATGTAGTTTCAGCTTTAGCTGGGTCGATCAAAGGCGCAGGTCCTGCAAGATAATTATTCTGAATAGCATTTGCAGTATAAAAAGATTAAATGTAGCAATTCATAATTAAGATGTAATCATATATTTTTTACCCTCATGGTCCACGCTGTTGGAGAAATATGGCGGATCAGATAAAGACTGAAGTCCATTAACTGTACAGAGAGTGGCCTCAAATCTGCATCCAGCGCGTTCGTTATCCTCCACCAGACCCGATTAGGTGACGGCCTTTTAGGCTAATGTGCCTCTAAAAATATACGCGTAGTTTTATGTTTCCTTTAAGCGCTCAAATGTCAGTTTTTTTACTCTCCGATGGAAATGAGCGGAATTAGGAACAGGTTTTAATTAACCCGGTGTTATCCGCGGGGCAGATGGGGGGTGCAGCATTGTGATGGAAAGGGGGGGGGCTTAGGGGGATTCCAGTGACTGCTGATGAGATGAATGTGAAATGCATCATTTAGCATTATGATATGAAATGTGAGTGCTTAATAACGCACTCAGTTCCCAGATGGCGGCTTCATTCACTTCTCCTGTCCACTGGCCGCAAAGTGCTGCAGCAATTATTTCACAATTTCTGGATAAATACCCCCCGCTCCAGGACTAGCATTGCCAGAAGTAGTTCCCTGCCTCTCCCTCCAACTCCCCCCCCCCCCCAACACACCACACGCACCCTTCGCTC